GTTGATTCTGACTCATGGTGACCTAGCACATAGGAAGCACTAAATACATTTTTGCTGCCTAAATAGTTAAGACATTGGGATTTGATGAGATTGGTATAGAGTGAGGGCTATGATGGGAGAACTAACTCAAGAGAGAATCTGAACACATTTATGCATGAAAGGAAGAGACACTTGCACTGGAGAGGGTAGAAGTGATAATTGGTACAGCAGGGCCCAGCATACTCCACTCCCCCTCATGAGGCAAGCAGGAGCTGGGAAGATCTTAAGCCACAGTGAGAATGTGAGTCCTGGATGAGGTATATCGAGCCAAGGTTATGGTGTCTCAAGATAGAACTAGATCATAGCCAGCTATGACTAGGTAAAATGGAGTTTCTACTTCAAAATAGAGCTAGGCAAACAGGAAGTCCAGGTATGTATGAAACCACTGAGGCAGAGTTTAAGGGAGGAGCCTTTGTAGACAGTGACTCAAAGTGAATATCTGGAGTCAAACCTTTACATTGTTTGAAGATACTTTACCCAGTTTGTTCCACATAAGGTGTGAACTTGCTAAGCATCCTTAAAGAGGTAGCTGCAGAGTAGATAGGGGTTGGGATCAAGAACCAAGAAGAAAGGAAATCTCTTCAGGGACTGAAAGTAGATGAAGATTGAGAAATGTATATAGATAGAGTGATAAGATAGGTGGAGGTGGCCTCATTTTGTCTTGGATTTTAGGCAAGAACAAGTGTGAGGTGGCTCAGGTCATTCTAATGTAAAACTTTTTATTTTATCTTGTAGGCTTGTGAAAAGGTTGGCATGCAGATCCCTCGATTCTGTTACCATGAAAGATTGTCTGTTGCTGGAAACTGTAGAATGTGCCTTGTTGAAATTGAGAAAGCTCCTAAGGTACTTGATACCTAAAATTCCACACCATGCTGTAGAAGGTAGAAAATCTTAAATCTTGCAGCCAATTTTATTTAGAATCACTATTGTTGTAGTGCTATATGTTTACTTATACTTCTAAGTTTAATATTTTTGTTCATTTTATTCTCTTCATTTCAAAAGTGGAGAGTGCTTTATAAATGCATGTGTCATAATTGTAACAGGTTTAAAATTAAAGTTGACTTCTAAGCAGGATGTGGAGTTGCCAAGTAGCATGTTAGAAGTGCTTATGTTGCACCATTTTCACTAGTGAAAAGTTTGGCAGTAAAGAGGTTTGCTTTAACTTTTTTGTGTGTTTTTTTATTATAAAATATGCATAAAAGTTGTCATTTTAGCCTATTTTGAAAGTACAATTCAGTGGCATTAAGCACATTTATAATGTTGTGTAACCATCACTATTATCTTATTTCCAGACTTTTTAATCATCCCAAACAGAAACTCTGTACTGCATTAAACAGGTTAACTACCCATTACTCTCTTGCCCCAGTCCCTGGTTACTTCTGTTCTACTTTCTATCCCTGTGAATTTGCCTATTCTGTCTGTCCCATATGAGTCGAGTCACACAATAGTTGTCCTTTTGTGTATGGCTTATTTCATAGAGCATGTCTTCTAGCTTCATCAGAACTTCATTCCTTTTTATGGCTGTATAAATCCCGTTGTATGCACATGCCACATTTTGTTTATCCATTCATTTGTTGATGCACACCTGAGTTGTTTCCTCCTTTTGGCTATTCTGAATAATGCTGTTGTAAACATTCATGTACCTGCTTGAGTCTCTGCTTTCAGTTCTTTTAGATATAACATAAAAGTGGAATTGTTGGGTCATAAAGTAATTCTATTTTCAACTTTTTGTAGTCACTAAACTGTTTCCACAGTGACTACACCAGCACTGCATGAAGGTTCCAGTTTCTCCATATCCCTGCAGCACTCATTATTTTCCATTTTTTTGCATAATAGTCATCCTAGTAGATGTGAAGTGGTATATCTTGTTGAGATTTTGGTTTGCATTTCCTTAATAACTAATGATCTTGAACATCTTTTCATGTGCTTATTGGCCATTTATATAATTTCTTTGGAGAAAAGTCTATTCAAGTCCTATGCTCATTTTTAAATTGGGTTTGCTTTTTATTGTTGAGTTATAAGAATTGTTTATATATTTTGGAGATATATATATAGGTTTTTATATATCATATATACACTTGTCAAATATTTTCTCCCCTTCTGTGGGTTTGTTTCTTTACTTTCTTGGTAAAGCCCTTTGATACACAAATGATGTCCATTTTATCTATTTTTTCCTTTGTTGGTCATACTTTTGGTGTCATATCTAAGAATTCATTGTAAAAAACTCAACTTTGTTTCCAAAGTTTTATATTTTTAGTCTTATGTTAGATTCCTGATCCACACTGAGTTAATTTTCATATGTGGTACTGTGTATGGGTCCAACTTCATTCTTTTGCATGTGGAAATTTAGTTGCACCAGCACCATCTATTGAAGAGACTGTTCTTTCTCCAGTGAATGGATTTAGCACCTTTGTTGAAAATCTATTGACATAGATATATGGGTTTATTTCTAGATTCTCTATTTTGTTGGTTTATATGTCTGTTCTTGTATGTGTACCACAGGTTTTGATTACTGTAGCTTTGTATTACATTTTGAAATCAGGAAATGTGGGTCCTCCTAGTTTGTCCCTCTTTTATAATACTGTTTTGACTATTTGGGGCCTCTTGCAATTTCATTTGAATTTGAGGATTGGCTTTTCAATTTCTGCAAAGAAGGTTGGCATTTTGATTGTGGTTGCATTGACCCTGAAGATTGTTTTGGATGATATTGACATTTAAACAATATTAAGTCTTCTAGTCCGTGATCAGAAGATTATTTCTTTCAGCACTGTTCTATAGTTTGTAGTCTTCTACCCCCTTGGTTAAATTTATTTCTAAGTATTTTATTCTTTTTGATTGCATTTCACTTTAATTGCATTTTGGTTTATGGAATTTTAATTCATTAGTACCTCCTGATCAGAGTACAGTTATTTGATAATCTGTTTCAGAACTTCTTATAAAAGACTATTAGAATAAACTTAACAAACAGGATTTCTTATTTATTTTTATGAGAAATATAAAGTGCCAGGTTGTCATATTACAAGTATGAATAAAAAATTTAAGACTTTGTCATGAAAAATACTATTTTCTTTGCTTTTTTTAAATTATAACTTAATATTTTTATATATAAGGAGCTCTGGTGGCATGATGGTTAAAGCATTTGGCTGCTAACCAAAAGTTTGGTAGTTCAAACCCTCAGCCATTGTACAGGAGAAAGATGAGGTAGTCTGCTTCTATAAAGATTTATAGCCTTAGAAACCCTATGGGACAGTTCTCTGTCCTACAGGATCTCCATCAGTCAGGCTCAACTTGATGGCAGTGCATTTGGTGGGTTTGGTTTTTATATATTGGGATGCTTATAATTAAAAGAAGCTCTGGTGGTATAGTGCCTAAGGCACTTGACTGCTGACCAGAAGCCTGGTGGTTCAAACCCACCAGCCATTCCTTGGAAGGAAGATTGGGCAATCTATTTCCGTAGTGATACCACCTCAGAAACCCAGGGAGGGGGTCGCTATGAGTCAGATTCAGCTCGACAGCAGTGAGTTAGGTTTTTTGGTTTTATAATTAAAAGTAAAGGATACAAATACTTACAGATTTTTCCATTGAAATTCCAGGTTGTAGCTGCTTGTGCCATGCCCGTAATGAAAGGTTGGAATATCCTGACCAACTCAGAGAAGTCTAGAAAAGCCAGGTACTTTATTACTACTCCATTTAGTGATCTTTCTTAGAGCAGGAAATTATGTATTTAAGCATTTAGACCTTCTCAGAGATTAGGAATTTATTACTAAACTTAGGAGAAGTTGATGTGCTTGCCTTCTAGGGGCAGTGGAAGTGAGTATAGACAGTAGAGGAGGTCAAGTCAGAGGTTTGTGATGTTGAATCTACAGTGGGATCAAAAGTAAAAATTTTGTTCAGCACCTTGCTCAACTTTTGACAAACAATGAGTCTGAGGCTTACTAAATTCAGAGTATTGCTGTGGTATCCTTAGCCGTGTGATTTAGTCTTTCATTATACTGATGGTGTTTAGTTTATATTTTGCATTCATGTGTGTTTATTTTGTTTGAATTAATGTGAATGTTTCTTGAGGACCATTCAGAAATTTTTGGTAATTCTGTAATATTAAAAGTTAGGATTTTCTAGGGTCTCTAATGACATTTTATTCTAGACTCATACTTTTTTTCTCCATTGTCATTTGGGTGAAAGTTAACACAGCAGATTAGTTTTCCATTCAACAATTTATACACATTTTGTTTCATAACATTAGTTGCAATTCCCTCAATGTAACAGCACTCTTCCCCTTCCTCCATTGGTTCCTCATTCCCATGTGTTCTTTCCTGCCTTGTCCTGCCTTCTGGCTTTGTTTTTGGACAAGATATTGTCCTGTCAGTGTCATATGGTTGATTATACTAAGGAGCCTGTTCCTCACAAGTGGTACTGTTCACTTCATAGGCTTATCTGTTGTTTGGCTGCCAGGTGACCCTGGAGGTGGTTTCATTTTCAGATTTGAAGGGTGTCAAAGGGCCATAGTCTCGGAGGTTCCAACAGTCTTGATATCAGACCAGTAGGTCTGGTCTTTTTTATGATTTTTGAATTTTATTATACATTTTTCCCCCATTCTGCCCAGAATCTTCTGTGGTCCTATTTAGAGCGGTCAGTAATGGTAGCCATCTAGTTCTTGTGGTCTCTCAGGGTAGTGTAGGCTGTGGTTTGTGTGGTCTACTAGTCCTTTGGACTAATTATTTCCTTGAGTCTTTTGATGTTCCCCGCTGTCTCCAGGTGGGGAACCTCTAAAGTATTTTCAGGTTATGATGAATACTTTGGGAATAATAGTTATATTGGAATTTTTTTTATAATAAATGTAAAATTAGTACTAACAGTGTGGGACCATACATCTATGAAGATTATTTAAATAACCTACATGTAAACAGTTTAAATACCAGCAATTTATATCATTTTATATGTTATGATTTTCTGTACAGAGAGGGTGTGATGGAGTTCTTACTAGCAAATCACCCACTGGATTGTCCTATTTGTGACCAGGGAGGTGAATGTGATCTGCAGGTACATGGTCTAATTTTGTACATTTTTTTTGGTTGTCCCAGGTTTTATTTTTCATTAGCAGCATTAGATTGACTTTTTTATAATCTACTTAAGGACCAGTCCATGATGTTTGGAAGTGATAGGAGCCGATTTTTAGAGGGGAAACGTGCTGTGGAGGATAAGAACATTGGGCCATTGGTAAAGACCATTATGACTAGATGTATACAGTGTACTCGCTGCATCAGGTAAGTTTTTATTTTTTTTTTCTCTTTTCTAGAGTATCAGTTTTACACACTTAGTCACCAAATTTGATGCAATAGCAATAATAGAAAAGATAACAACTTTTGTTTAGTAGGAGGATACCGTTACTATTTTTTTTTTGCAGAAACCAATAAAATGGAGTAAGTTGTTTACTTTCATTTAATAGCAACTTCAGTTGGATTTTAAAGTAGTAATTTGCAAACATTCATTTTGTATTAAGTTAGTGAGCGATACATGTATGATTTATGTATATTCTATATTATACCTCAATTTTAAAAAATCAAACATTAAATTATTTTTGATTAATGACTATTCACCATTGCAAATATTCTTGTCTTTTTCATGTTTTGAAAATCACTATCTCTTTATGATCATGAATAGGGAAGGAAGTAATTTTGATAAATTCTACCGTTTCACAGTATGTTTTTATCTTTCAGATTTGCTAGTGAGATTGCAGGAGTAGATGACTTGGGAACAACAGGCAGAGGAAATGATATGCAAGTTGGCACATACATTGAAAAGATGTTCATGTCTGAGCTGTCTGGGAATATCATTGATATTTGCCCTGTAGGTGCTCTGACCTCTAAGCCCTACGCATTTACTGCCCGGCCTTGGGAAACAAGGTATTCATCTTTGCATTTTTGATAGTTTGCCTGTTTGTTCTTAATTCCTTGTTATTCAAAAATTAAAAAAAATTACGGGTATTTTCTTCCCAAGTTTTGATTAGCCAAGTTTTATTTGTTTGCTTTATATGAAATCCTCTAAATGGAAGATGAGTAGTAAATTGAAGGATAGAATGAACCTGTGCAAATTAATTTTCCCAGAAATTAATTTTCTAGTTCTTAATCCATGAAATTATTCATGTATTCTTTCTTTATCATTACAAATCTGTGATAAACTGCTTTTTATAAGTTTTTATATCTCTTTGATTCTTCTTTAAAATTAAACCAAGAAATGGAGTAAGGAGGTACAATAAGTATAAATATTTTTAAGGATTTTGAAACACATCATCAAATTGCCCTGTAATTTTAAATTCCCACCAAAGTATATAAGGGTATCTTAAAACTCCAGATTTTAAACCGTGTATGTATGTATGCATCTACTCAAATAGTAACCTAAGGGTTGGTGGTTCAAAACCACCCACTCATGCTGAGGAAGAAAAGCCTGGTGATCTGCTTCTATAGAGATTACAGCCAAGAAAATCCTGTGAAGCAGTTCTATTCTGTAACACATGGAATAGCCATGAGTCAGAATCTACTCCATGGCAACGAACTTTTTGGTTTGTTTATTTATGTATCAAAAGGATGTGAAGTCGGAGGAAGTAAATAAGTGCTTCAGTAGAAAGGGCTTTTTCCCCCCATTTCTTTTAAAATTATTGTAACATCATACAAATGAAAAATTATTTTTACCTTTAAGAGCTGACTGTTCCAAAATAATCATACCATAATAATTTTTAAGATTGGTGGGGAAAGGTAAACCTTTTTCTCATCTTCTTCTAAACTATGAAACAGTAGAATAATCATCTCAGTTTTATTATAAAAACAAAATTATAACTCAAAAAACAATTTACTATTTTACTGGAGAAAACAAATAATATATCCAGCAATACACATAAATATATTTATATAGACCTTTATGTTAACCCACATTTATCCTTTCTAGTGCTTTTCAGTTCTTTCTGTGAATATGAGTTACTGCCTAATATCATTTCCTTTCAGCCTGACAGACTGCCTGTAAAATTTCTTTTAAGGCAGATCTGTTAGCAACAGATTCTTATAGTTTTTATTTATATAGAAATGTCTTTATTTTGCCTTCGTTGTTGAAGAATAGTTTTGTTGTATATAGAATTCTTGGGTGATAGGGGTTTTTTTGTTTTTTTTTCCCCTTCTCTCTTCATCACTTTCGAATATGTCATCCCACTACTTTTGACTTCTCTTCCCTTCTGATTATGTTAGCCTTTAACCTCACTGATGCTCCCTTCTGCATGACAAGTCATTTATATCTTGCTGCTGTTAGATTTTTCTGTTTGTTTTTGGCTTTCAGTATTTAACTGCAATGTGTCTACATGTATTTCTTTGTATTTATCCTACCTGGATTCATTGAGGCTGGATGTATAGATTAATCATTTTTTTCATAAAATTTCTGCCCTTTCATTTCCTCTCCTTTTGGGATTACTGTAATGCATATCTTAGTACTCTTGGTGTTGTCCCACAGGTCTCTGAGATGCTGTTCATTTTTCTTAAATCTTTTCTCACTGTTATTTAGGTTGGATAATTTCTCTTGATCTATCTTCATATTTACTGATTCTTTTGCCATCTCAAACTTGCTTTTGAGCCCCAGTAGTAAACTTTTAATTTCATCATTGTACTTTTCACCTCCAGAATTTCTATTTGCTTCTTTATATATGTGTGTATATATATCCTATTAAAATAGGTTCAAAGGATTAACGAAAGTCATGTGGATAAGGCACTTGACTGCTAACCGGCAGGTCAGTGTGGTTCATACCTACCAGCTGTTCGGCAGAAGGAAGACTGGGAGATCTACTTCCATGAAGATTTACAGCCTCAGAAACCCAATGGGGAGCTCTGGTGACAAAGTGCCTAAGGCACTTGACTGCTAACCAGAAGGCTGGCAGTTCAAACCCACCAGCTACTTCTCAGAAGGAAGATTGGTCAGTCTACTTCCATAGTTGGGTTTCTGCCTTGGAAACCCAAGGAGGGGTTGCTATGAGTTGGAGCTGACTCTCAGTGAATTTGGTGTGTTTTTGTTTTGTTTTTTTTTTGTAATCCATGATTAGGATTAGGATTCTTAGGAGTTGCCCCTGTATTTGCATAGCTTAGTAATCAGTAGGTACACAATGATGGGACAGAAATTGTGCCGAAGCACCATTAGCTAATAAGCCTTTCATCCTGTGGGCCCTTTGAATCTCAGTGTTGTTTGGAATCTCTGAGTAGTTTGGATCTCTCTGGTCTCAGCTGTGCATATGCTGCATAGCCTCAGCTAGGAATGCTTGCTCTAGCTACAGCTAAAACCTCAGACTGGCACAGCCTTGGCTTTCTCCTCATCTCATCAGTTCCCCAAATACTTCCATTCAGTGGCTTTTCATCTGCAGCAGAGAAGCTCTCTAGGCTCAGCTAGGCATTGAGGGTAACAGAAGTAGCCCCAAGCCAAAATAACACAGATCTCCACTGTTCCTACTCAAATTTCAGCAGTTTTTCGTGCATAGAAATTTCTCAGGTTGTTGAATATCTTTGGTAAATTTCCAAAGCACTGAAATGATTGTTTTTTGCCAATTTTCTCCAGCTTCATTTTTACATATTGTGGAAAGGATTTGCTGAGTTCCTTACATGGCTATAGCCATAAGTCCTGCCTCTCTTATTATTTATTTTGATACTTAAATTGACCTAGATCTGACCAGTTGAATTCCGTGTACACTGACTTCTGTGTCAGGTAGCAGTTTCTAAAGGTTCATTTCTACACTAGAGGTTTACATGATGTCTTCAGCTATGCAGATACACTTTTTATTGCTAATTTGTATGACTTACTATTTTTAGAAATTCAGAAAAGGAAGTAATTGTAATCATTTTGTTTTTGAAACCAGGTAACAAACTTTCTACTTATTCCTAAAATCAATATAATAACCATGTGTGCTTATATTCCCTTTTTCTCAGAAAGACAGAATCAATTGATGTAATGGATGCAGTTGGAAGTAATATTGTTGTAAGCACAAGAACTGGAGAAGTGATGAGGATTTTGCCAAGGATGCATGAGGACATTAATGAAGAATGGATCTCTGATAAAACTAGGTATATGCTATATTGTTTTCCCTGACTTTTGCAATTAAACTAAAGATAATTTTATCATTTTAATTTAAAAAAAACTTTCATTTATATTTGCAAACTAGTTCATAAATGCAGGCTATTGAAATTTGGACTTTATGTGGAGATTTGGACAAAATTAACAAAGCAGTAGTCCTAGATCTCTCACTGACTTTCATAGTAACTTTGAAAAAGATCTTTTCCCGCCCCGGTGGAGAGATTAAAGTAAATTAAGATATTTTTCCAACCTATTTCAGTGACAAAAAAAAGAGAAAAACCTAAGTTAGGGTTTGTACAATATAATTTTGGTAAAATATCTAGAGGTATTCAAGTTTTATAACAAAATGATTTAACTTTTCTGCTATCAGATTTTTTGTGTGTCATGATTTTAAGATTATTCTGCTTTCTGAAAATAACTTTCAAGAAGTCAAGCTCCTTGATGGTTTTTATTTTAGGTGATGTTCATAAGATAATCTTTATTAGTCTGTCTCCAAAAAAAACCAGATAAATTATTTATGTCCAGGTATTTACAATTATATTTACACTCTAAACAATGCTGTATTTAGATAACATTTCTTGTGGACTTTACACTTGAAAATTAGAGTTGCCTCTTTAGAGAGATTCCACAAATGGTGTAATTTCTGTTATCTAGATTTGCCTATGATGGGCTAAAACGTCAAAGACTTACCGAGCCGATGGTCAGAAATGAAAAGGGGCTTTTAACCTTTACCTCCTGGGAGGATGCACTCTCTCGTGTAGCTGGAATGGTAAAGAATTCAAATATAGAATAAATATTATTTGTGGTTTTCAAGGGACTTATTTGCAGTGAGGGAGGATATATGTCTTCATTTCTTTATTCTTACCAAGATTTGATTAAACACCTTTCATTTATCATTCTTTGAAAGCCATATGCTAGATGCCTTGCTACATGTAGGTATATAAAGACTATTAAAATATGCCTTTCCATCCCACAATCTGGTTGAAGGGAAAGGTGTACACTTAGGCAGTTGTCATCTGCTGTTGTGGGTTGTGCATGAAGTGGTATGAAAGAGCAGATGAGAGAGGTGCCTAACCCAGGATATCAAAGATATCTTCCTGGAAGAGATGACTAATTAATGTGAAAGCTAAGAATGACTGCTAGCTCTAGCTCCCCAGAGCAAAAGTGGAGAAATGGCTTTCCTTTCAGGAAAAAGGTACATATAGAAAAGGTCAGGGAGAATGGCAGGTACTTCAAAGTGGGTTGCATTTAAGGGAACTATTACTCCACAGCTTTTGTCCTCTGAACCTCATTTTCAGGCTCCTTTGTTCCTAAACAGGAGCTCTGGTAGCACAGTGCCTAAGACATTTGACTGCTAACCAGAAGGCTGGCGGTTCAAATCCACCAGCCACTCCTCGGAAGGAAGGTTGGGCAATCTACTTCCGCAGTGATACCACCTCAGATGCCAAGGAGGGGTCGCTATGAGTCAGATCCGACTCAATGGCATTAAGTTTTAGTTTCAGTTTTGTTCCTAAACATAAACTGTTTCCCTCCAAGCTAATGGCATTAGCCTTAACCTCAAATATACCTCTGCTTCTCACTTCTTAGATGTTTTAGCTTAATTTATAATTATTAAAAGAACTTTTTAGTCAGAAGTTTATTATTCTTTTGGACCTTGAAAATGATTATTTTCTGAACATTGGTTTTTTGGTGATACCCTTTTTATCCATTTCTAGTTGCAGAGTTTTCAGGGAAAGGATGTAGCAGCAATTGCAGGTGGCTTTGTGGATGCTGAAGCCCTAGTAGCGCTCAAAGATTTGCTTAATAGAGTGGACTCTGACACCTTGTGCACTGAAGAGGTCTTCCCCACCGCAGGAGCCGGGTGAGAAATATGAAGCGAAGATATAGGCTTTCTTCTTTTTTTTTTTCTTTTGGTTACAAGTTGTATATAATTCACCATATCTCTGGCATTAATGACTTAACATGTGACAATTTGGATTCTCCAACATACCTACCAACTTACTTTCACACATAGACCAAAATCAAACCAGGAGTTACAGAAAGTAGGAGAATCTAGTTATTTGTAAGTATCTGATACTTTGATGTAATTTAAGAATACCAAAACAAACCCATTGCCATTAAGTCAATTCTAACTCATAATGACCATATAGGACAGAGTAGAACTGCCCCATAGGGTTCTCAAGGCTATAAATCTTTACAGAAGCAGACTGCCTCATCTTTCTCCCAGAGTGGCTGGTGGGTTCAAACCACTGATCTTTTGGTTGGCAGCCAAATGCTGTAACCACTGTACTACTGTTGTTGTTGTTGTTGTTATGTGCCGTCAAGTCCGACCTGACTCACACAGCCCCTCCTTGGGTTTCCAAGGCAGTATCACTACAGGAGTAGATTGCCCAACCTTCCTTCCGAACTGTGCTACTAGAGTTCCTTAATTTAAGAATACTTGATTAAAATTTTTTGTCTGAGAGTGCCATAGGTTGGATGACATGAGAATATTTCAGATTCTTGGTGTGTATTAGTTTTAAAGTAAATTTGTGTTTTGTGTATTTCTAGCACAGATTTACGTTCCAATTATCTTCTTAATACTACAATTGCTGGTGTGGAAGAGGCAGATGTTGTCGTTCTGGTTGGTACAAATCCACGTTTTGAGGCACCATTATTTAATGCTAGAATTCGAAAGAGGTTAGTAATAATACTTAAACAAACCAAAAATATTTATGTAATGTTTTTTGTTTTATATATGACATGACATTTTAGCTGATTGCTTATAGTGTTAGTGGGGATGTTACTCCAAAAGATAATTGGAGGACAATTTCTAACAGCCCCTACTCCTGTTTATTTATATCTGTGTTTATTTTGTTAGCTTTTTATTCTGAAATGATTCAGAACTTATAAAAGAATTGGTTGAAATGTTCTTTGTATACCCATCACTAAGAATCATCAGTTAACATTTTCCTACATTTGCTTTGTTATTCTATGTTTGCACACATATGTGTGATTATAGTTTTATGAGTAATTTGAGAGTCAGTTGCAGGCATGCCCCTTAGTACCTAAATACTTTAGTGTGGATTTCCTAAGAACAAGGGCATTCTCTTAATCAAGAAATTTGGTATAGATATAATATTATCTAATCCACAGTTTATATTCAAATATCACCAATTTTCATAGCAAGTTTTTGTTTGTTTGTTTTTTCATTTATACTTTAATGACTTATGAATGGAGTGACCACATAATTTGTTATCTAAACTGGGACACTTGAGAGTAAAAGAGGGAGTTGTTAATTCAGGATAACATGTTAACCAATACTGTTCCCAGATAATTGAGAGTATATGGTCACCACACTTAACTATTTTTGGAGGAGATGGATCCGTGGCTCCCTGTCATAGAAAATAAATATGAATGACATAGTTTATTTTTAGGAATTATATTTGAATGACCTTAATGGATAATTAAGAGATACCCTATGTGTATTGAAGAATAAAAACTATGGATCAGTTATTCTAAAATTAAAGTGTATATTTGTAGCTGGCTTATAGTTAGCATTCCCACAGCAAATTAATTCACTGAATTGCCTGGCATGTATTTTTGCAACACTTGGTTATAAAAGGTCATTATCTGTTTGTAGAAATCTACACCAGATTTGATTGTTTCTTTTATATTGAAAGGTACAAAGAATATATCTATTAAGACTAAATCTTCTCTGAGTGCTTTTATAAAGCTTTTAACATTTTGTAATAGTAAATATATAGCACTTAGCATAGAAGAGGGAGCTCTGGTAGCATAGTGGCTAAGACACTTGCCTGCTAACCAGACGGCTGGCGGTTCAAACCCACCAGCCACTCCTCGGAAGGAAGGTTGGGCAATCCTACTTCCGTAGTGATACTGCCTCGGAAACCCAAGGAGGGGTCGCTGTGAGTCGGGGCCGACTCGACGGCACATAACAACAACAACAGCATAGAAGAGACCAATAACTGTGCTAAATTAATTATTCAGCTCTATAAACTTTGTTGCTTTTATTTCAGCTGGCTTCATAATGACCTAAAGGTAGCCCTTATAGGCAGTCCAGTAGATCTGACTTATAGATATGACCACCTGGGAGATTCCCCCCAAATTCTTCAAGACATTGCTTCAGATAGACATCCATTCAACCAGGTGTGTTCAGTTAAATATATCTATTCTTGTTAATTTTTAGTGATTGTTATTTTTTAGTTTCTTTAATGTTTTTGTCTCGAAGGAAGGTTGGGCAATCCTACTTCCGTAGTGATACTGCCTTAGAAACCCAAGAAGGGGTTGCTATGAGTCAGGGCCGACTCGACGGCACGTAACAACAGCAACAACAACGTTTTTGTATGTGGTTATTGCTAAAAATTACACCAATACAGAAGTAACATGAAAAAAAGTAAAATTTTACTGCCTTAAAACAAGTATTAATGAAACTTAATAACCATCTCTCTATTTACATATAGAAGATGGATGGATAAATAAGCAAAGAACCAAAATGAAATCATACTGTACATACTGTTTTTATTTACCAGGGTTTAATTTTACCTGGAATTAATTGAAAAGAAATTGAACTAAAAGAACTAAACTTCAGACTTCAATTAAATCTTTACTGCAAAAATTATTCCTGAAAGAAATTTTTGCATGGCTTTTTCATTATCAAGTCCTGTATTTATGGTCATTTTGCTGTTGGCTGGTTTTTTATGTTTCCTTTTGTTTCTTCCAAGAAGGGCACATAGGTGCTGTCTTCCTTGAGTTCTTGCCTGCTTTAAAATGTCTATTTTATTCCTCAAGAGACAGATTGGCAGGATATAAAGTTCTAGGTCAGCATTTTTCCCCTTTCTGAACTTTGTAGACACTGCTTCACTGTCTTCTGTTACTGTAGAGAAGCCTGAAGTCAGTGTTATTTCCACCAAATCCTGTCACCCCATGCTGATTATTTTTCCTGCTAGATACTTTATCATTGATTCGTCATCACTGAAATTTGATAATTTCACCAGAGTATGTTAATGGTGGTAGATTTTTTTTAATAAGGCCTTTCATCTGTGCCTTACAATCGAAAGATTCAAGGTTCTCTTTGTTTCAGGATTTTAATTTTTTGTGATGATTGTTGAAACTGCTAAGTGTCTATTTCTCACATAACAAGAAATCTAGAGCTCGGCAGTTGAAGGTGATATAGTTGTCCAAGCATATCACCAAGGAAGAGCTTACCTCCTTTGCTGTTCTCAGTGTATTTACTTGCTTATGTTCACCTGTGAATGTCTCTGTGTGTGCGTGTGCACAAGTGTGTGCATCTGCACGCACCTCTCATCATAGTTCTAAGATAATGTCTTCACTGGCAGATTCAGGTTTACTTTACAGGCAAGAGAAGGTACAAAAGGACAGAATTGCCTAGCCCAGCCTCTTTGTTTCTTTGTTTTGAACAGGAAAAACATTATCATGATTAAAAAATTGAAAGCATAAAAAGGTTTTCAGTGAAAAGTGTTCCCTTCTTTCTAGTACGCATTTCTGTCTGCCAGAATTTGGCCAGTATTCTTAGGGAATATTTTTCTTCTATTACAGATTTAAATACATTTTTTGTTCCATTAGTTCTTTTCTCTTCATTACTAACTTTATTAAGTGAGGTTTCTTTCATCTCTTTTTTTTTCCCCATTTTCTTTGAAGCATTTTAAGACTCTGAACTCCATGTTTTCTTGGGAAACGTCTGTTGTGACAGATGTCTGTCCTATTGTGATGAATGTACTCCTTCCTTTAACTGATGTTCCTTTCTCTCTTTTTTTTTTTTTTTGTAATATCTATGCATAATTCTTCATGCTGGTTATTTCTTTATTCATCTTTGATTGGGGACAGCTATTTATTAAAGAATAATATAGGGATGAACAAGAGAATGAAGTATGTAGTCTATGGCTTTGTTGCTTATTTGTTATCTCGACCACCCTTCACTCCTTTGTTCTTGGGATGCATTCCATCTCAATTTTTGGCATTCAGGAAGTTACTATGGTTTGAAGCAAAGCCTTTAAAGTTACAGGTATTTTGCATTGTGATTTAGTGATAATTACTTCCTCCTCTTCTTCTGCTCTGTCTAGAGGGTAGTTAGATAGATGGAAGGAGAAGACATGGTATTTCAGCATGGTTTCTCCTGTTCTTCGGTACTATCTGTGTCTTCCACAGCTTTTCTGTGACCTGCCTTTAGTCATTCTGACCATGTTATTTGGCTAGTATTTCCTAATATTATTTAAAAATCTGTTCTATATGATACTCATTCGGCCATTTCCCAGTAGCATTGGGAAGATGTTTCTTTATTAAAACCATGCTAAATCTAGTTCCATGTATGACCAATCATATGCTGACTAGCAAACCAAAGACACGTTCATATTAGACCTGGAGCTTAGGTATACAGTAAGTACATACTTGATTAGGTTTATTTTACTTGTAATATTAAATCTGGATTTTTATTATTATTATTATTTTTTTTTTTAAAATAGGTCCTAAAGGAAGCTAAAAAACCAATGTTAGTTTTAGGCAGTTCTGCACTTCAAAGAAATGATGGAGCAGCAATTCTTGCAGCTGTTTCCAGCATTGCACAAAAGATTCGGACAAGCAGTGGGATTGCTGGTGATTGGAAAGTTATGAATATTCTTCACAGGTTGAGTGATTTTTTTATATATATATATATATACTAAAATTTAAGTAATTTTGTGTATTATGCTCCTGCTACCCTGTTAATTTTAAATTTGTAAGCAGTATTGCCCCATTTGCAGATGTGAAACACCAAGCTTTTTCATTCTGTGTGTGAACCCAAGATAAAAAATAATACTAAAAATATCTAAAATAACTGTGATTGTTGAAAGTGAGTATTTAAAATCTCTGTCATATTAGAATACCAGGTAGCATAGTTCAGGGATTGTAATAAAGATCATATCTCTGCAAAGAGAGAAAGTTTTACTTCTTTCTAATCTGGATGCCTTTTACCTCGTTTTCTTGCCACATTGCCCTGTTTGGAAGAACCTTCAGTACAGTGTTGAATAGAAGTGGTAAAAGTAGACATCCTTGTCTTGTTCATGATTTTAGGGGAAAGTATTTAGTCTTTATTGAATATGCTGTTAACTGTGGGCTTTTGGTAGATGCTCTATTTCAGCTGAAGAAGTTCCCTTGTATTTCTCATGTGTTAATGTTTTTTCATGAAAGGATGTTGGATTTCTCCAGTGTTTTTTGTGTATCTACTGAGATGATCATGTGGTTTGTTTTTATTCTTTATTCTATTAATATGGCATATTACATTGATTTTTCAGATAGTAAACTAACCACATGCATTCCCTGGATAAATCCCACTGTATAATTCTTATCTTTATTATAATGAATACTTACCAAAAGCCTAATTGTTTACCCTTTCCTCTCCATTGAGGAACTCTGGTAGGTAGTAGTGGTTAAAGCATTTGGCTGCTAACCAAAAGGTCAATAGTTTGAACCAACTAGCCACTCCATGAAAGAAAGATGAGGCAGTCTGCTTAAAGTTTAACAACATTGGAAACTCTATGGGGCAGTTCTACTCTGTCCTAAAGGGTCTCTTTGAGTCAGAATAGACTCCTGGTAATGGGTTTGTATTCCTCTCCATTTGGTTAGTTCTCTGTCATTTGTTACATTGTTTTTTTCCTGTCAACTTCTTGCTTTATTCCTTCCTTAGGAGAAAATAGACTTCACCTGTTGGTGAATGATAAAAAAGGCAGCCTTGAAAGCTTTCTCATTATCTTCTCTATATTAACCCATTGCTATTAAAAAGATTTGGTCCATTGGTCACATACCAGGACAATAGATTCTTGGGAAAACCAAAACAGATCTATATATCAGTCTGAACATACAGCAGAAATAATTTAGCCCAACCATTTCTTTTACTCCCGTCTACTAGGGGAGTTACCTTGACCTGCTCTCCTCCCTTAAACAGGTAAAGGACTAGCTGGCTTTATACACCATAGGTTCTCAGAATGGCTATCACTGACTAGAAAGTTAATGCTAGTCTGCAGACAAAAAAACCTCTGATGTACAAAGTATAGTTATTTCAGACCTTTTCTTTAAAAGATTATTGTTGCTTATATTATTATCCATAGAAAAAAAATCTGTACGGACTTATACCAATGTACTAATTACGGCTTTTTTTTTTTTTTTTTTTAATTATTGTGTTATTTATATTTAAATTTTCCTTTCTGGCTTTTAAAATCATCTAATTTTCCTCTATTCTATGTTTTATGTGTTATTATGTTGAATGAGAGTGATCTTAAGGCAATTGTAGTTGGCTTAAAGTTTCCAGAATTATTCCATTAAATGATATCTTATAAAGCGACAATAACCTACATACCTTATGTGTCTTTGTTTGTCATTCCCAAAATAATAAAAGACTGCTGCTTCTGATTTTGACATCTGTTTTAAGTGGGTAAGAAATAAGAATGGGCTTTGGTAGCATTGACTGGAAAATAAACTAGGTAACATTCCAAGAATCACATTTATTTTTTTACACTGAAAACAATTACAGCTATGCTAAAATTCTATAATCGTTACAGGATTGCAAGCCAAGTAGCTGCTTTGGACCTTGGCTATAAACCGGGAGTAGAAGCAATTCGAAAGAACCCTCCCAGAGTGCTGTTTCTCCTAGGAGCAGATGGAGGTTGTGTTACTCGACAAGATTTGCCAAAGGATTGTTTCATTATTTATCAAGGTAAGTAGCCCCTGGAACACCAAAAACAGAACAGTACATTATGTCTTTTGTAAACTGTTCTACGGTATACATTGTTGTTGTTGTTACGTACCGTTGAGTCGGACCTGACTCATAGCGACCCCTCTTTGTGTTTCCGAGCAGTATCACTATGGAAGTAGATTGCCCAACGTTCCTTCCGAGGAGTAGCTGGTGGGTTTGAACCGCTACCCTTCTGGTTAGCAGTCAAGTGCCTTAGGCACTGCACTACCAGAGCTCCTGCAGTACAGTATACATAGTATACATAATAGACTGAATATTTTCTATTCAGGTATGACCACAAAAATTTTTCTTTAACTAAATTTTACATTTTATTAGTTACATAGTTGATATTACTATTAAGAATTATTACCTGATGTTATTTAATAATAAAATTAGAAGCAACTTAAATACCCAGTAATAGTTAAATTACAGTCATATTATGTAGACATTAAAAGTTAAACTTTTCACAGAATATTTAATGTTTTTATATAATCAAGAAAGCAACTTTAATGTAAATATATCATAAAAAGTTAAAATCACTTGATTCCTACAAGGATCTTAGATGATTTCTATATGGAGAAAGAGCTTTAGACTACAAAATTGAAATTAACCTTATCTTAGGAGAAAATGACAGAGATAAATTATGTTAGTTTCACTTTGTCACTTTAGGATGTCAGCTTATCAACAGCAAAAACTTTTAGGAGATTGGAAACCATAGAACATTTTATGTTTTAGCTTAAGTCATTTTCATAATGTGCTAAATGACATTTAGTGAATCATAGTTAAACATAATACTCCTTTGGCTTTTCATGTTTGACTCATCTTCTTAAAAAGAAAAATATTGAATAATGTTCTACTTTATTTCACACATAAACACCATAAGTTAGAATAGGGATTTCATTGCTATGGCACATAAAATGCATTTATACAATATTTGTATCTTTAGTTTGGTAAAGCTAAACCAAAATGCAGAAACTAAAATCCTATTTTCTAATGCTTTCCAGAGAGAATCATTAATGACAGTTTTGATATGTAAACAAATGAGATTAAATTTTATATATTGTTCTATAACTTAATTCTCACTTGACTGAAATCTATTTCTAAACCTCTTGTTGCTTTTTTTTTTTTTTTAATAACTTCTGACAGTTTTGTTGAAATAATAATGGTGGTAGTCTTATAGAATGCCATTTCCTATGATTTTCTGTGTGATGAAATTTGTCTATGTCTAAATTTATGTCTGACAATTTTAGTACTGTGTTAGTCGTGTTTTACACTTTGCACTCTTCTGCTATTTCAGTGTACTTTACCATATTCCACTAACTGGTACTCCTGAGGTTTCTACTTTGTAAGCATCAAGAGAAATAATATACCTAATTGCCATAATATATACATATATTTGTGTATTTGCATAAAATAGAAAGATACATACCAATTTCTTTAACAGTAAATCTCCTTGGAAAGAGAATTGAATTAGGGAGGAGATGGGCTTTAATTTTTACTGTATTTTATAATT